GTGAGGCGTCGAGCGTTGGGTGGGGTCATCGTCCTGACCTCACCCCCGTGTTCAGCTGCTTAAACACATTCCCTGGTCACTACGTTAAAACTCCGTCTCTTCCCTTCTGCAAAGGGTTAAAACGATGTTAATCTCTCATCTCCCGACCAGTATCGTAAAGTCCAGCCTCAAAACTTTAAAATAGCCCTACAAAGGTGTTCTCCGAATGAAAGTTTGGACAGTAATGCTTAATAAAACAGCATTTTCCTGTCCCTCCTTCCTAGGTCCGACTGCAAACCCAGCCGAAGCCGCAGCCTGGCCAGCCTCCGCTCTATTCTGGGACCTTTGACTGCTTCAGAAAGACTCTGCTTGGAGAGGTACGGAGTGAGCGTGTCGAGTGCCGCGCCTGCCAAAAAGATCAGTCGTTCCCGTGCGTCGCAGGAATGGAATCCTGTGGGAATGTTGTGCCTTGGAGACCATACAATTCTGTAGTTATCAGTTGCGTTGCTTCTAACTAGAGTTTACGCTCCGATTATGAGACTCGGGATACTTAGCAGCCACGTGCTCCAGGTGCATGCCTGTTTGTTTTGTTAACAAATGCTTTTGGTTGAAAATAGTGTGATATGGGTATCTGAAGTTAAAGTCCAGAGTGAGTATTGGCAGTTGTTTGCTGGCTTTGTTGCTGCAGGCGGTGGAATCGTGGTGGCTTTGGAGTTGTTCCTGGACGTCCCAAAGTAGGCAAAGAGCCTTGTTGATACGAACAGTGCCTTTACTTTCTTCTGTAACATATTGTGCCATCTGTGAGAAGGCGGAGGAGCATTAGTTTGAATTAATAGACCTTTTTTCTTTTGAGAACGGAGGGTCAACTGGAGCAGTTCTGTTCAGTCTCCTTCAGAGGCAGACAGCGGTTTTCACTGCTGAATCAGCCGTGTCATGTGGTTAAACTATAGTCTGTTTTGGTTTTAGAAAGGCACGCAGCCTCGGTTTAAAGGCTTCAAGTGACGTTGAATCCCCTTTGCCGCTCAATAATTGTTCCTAGCAGCTATTTACCATTTGGAAACAATGGCTATAAAACCCAACTGTTTGTCAGCCTGAAGTCTAACTTCTGACCGCTGGATCTGGTTAGGTAACGCTCTGGTCAACGTAGGATCTGTCTTGTATCTGAAATCCACTTTTGTGATGGTATTAACAGGTTGTTACGTAACCAAAGTCAACCTTGGTTCCCTAGTCTTTCCCACAGAGCGCGGAAATGCTTTGCTAGCTCTGAATCCCTGGCGGTTTTTAACACCCCTGCTGAAGCACGGGCGTCACTGCCGAACCATAATAACAGCCTTGTGATGCACAGTTCACACGTAATGCTGCCTCTCTACTCCTACTCACTACTCATCCGTTTCTGTCAGGAGAACTATTCAACCGCGCTGCCAAGGCCTCTTGTTTCCCGCTGCTCATGGGAAGGTGGGGCAGGAGTGTCTGATCTTTGCCAGCCAGATACGGGGTCATTAGAGTCAGTTGTGCCTGTAAGCGCACAGGCACGTGCTGGGATACGCTGATTTACTGGGGAGGGGGAAGGAAGGGGCAGACAGACCAGCAAATACTTATTTTGTGCATCTAGCCTTCACCCAGAAAGATAACTCTCCTTTTCATTAGAAGAAGTTCCGTTCAAGGGCAAGATAAATGAAAGAAATGCAACTGCTGGGGTCTGCGTTAGAGTTTTTCCATGCATGTAGCCTGATGAAGGGCAGCGTCAGGAACACAAAGCTGTATGGGGAGAAGGGTTTGATTTATGGAAGGGAACTAAAAATAATTTGCTCTAGAACTCGTTCCAAATGGAGTTTGTGTGGGGAGTGGAGAAGTTCGGGTCAGTCTGAATCGGGAAGCCTGGCTCTCGTTATCTGAAGAGCGAGTTCTGTTCAGCGTTCTCGGCCTCGGTGTCAGGATTTGGCACTGCTCATGGACGACTTCCCAATAAAGTCCGTGTGCGTTTTCGCACGTGTCTGAGGGAGAAGACTTCTGACATCATCTGTTCAGGTAGCTTTTGACTCCCTCATACTAGAGACATGAGGACAGGGTGAGCAGTGGTGGAACAGAAGGATGTAAGCGGTGCCGGTGTTTCCCACCCAGGAAGGATAGCTTTCCCTGGGCCTCAGCTGAGCGTGTGTAACCGGAAATGAACCACAGAGCCCGTCATTTCTCTGGTTAACGTGACTGACTGGCACTGGCCCGTGTTGTAGCTGTTTGCTTCTCAGGACGTTGAAACCTGAAGTAATTCTTGTGATAATGTTTCTTGCAGGGAGTGCGAGGATTATATCGAGGAATGGCAGCTCCTATTATCGGGGTGACACCCATGTTTGCTGTGTGCTTCTTTGGATTTGGCTTGGGAAAAAGGCTGCAGCAGAGAAAACCGGATGACGTTCTGACGTGAGTTTCCGAGTTCAGCGGGCGGTTGGGAAAGGCACGCTCTTGCAGCCGGCTGCGTTGGCATGCGCCGGGTTGTGGTGTCAGTTTGTCTCTTCTCCTAGCTTAGAAATACAGCTCGGAAAAATAAAACACACGTATTTTAATGCTTCTGGAAGCGTGGGACTGATAGCACAGGCTAAAAACAGGCAGCGTGTGGGCAGGTGCTACGCAATTCCCTTTCTACCCAAAAAAGAGTCATTAAGGAGCAGTTCTGGTTTAGATGGGTGCCGCGCGAGCTTTGTAACGGTTGCTGTTATTGGGAGAAATAACTTCACGGTCAAGCAGCCTCGATGACATTCACAGTCCTGATTCTGTTTTCCCTGGCAGCGGTGGCTCGCAGTGTCCTCCCATCGGGTATAGTAATAGCCAGGGAAATGTTTTATTACTACCTGGAAGGTGTTGTTTACGAGCTGCCCTCCTCTCAGGCACGTCTAACCTTCTGGAAGAGAGATGGAAATCTAAGAGGTTGTAATGTGGCTTTCTACACGCTGACTTACACGTGCAGAGAGCCCCTCACCCGTAAAGCACTCCCTGAACTTCGCTGGGTTGTGATCTGTCGCCCTGCGGGAGCAGAACTGCGGCTCAGCGGCGCTTCAGCCGTGCGGAACGGAGGAGCGCTGCCGGAAAGCCAGGAGCCCGTTGTGTTGAGCCAAGTGCGGCGGGGCGGGGGGCAGTTTCTGTCGGAGCCTTGCCTGCGCAGGGGCCTGAGGAGTCCTGCAGATCCGAAAGGTTTAGCTCTGATTAGGCATTGCTGAGGCGCTGATGGAAAGCAGCGGATGCGTTTCTACTTCCACTGCCAACCCTGCGTGGCACAGCATCGTCTGGCGACACAGGGGTCTCTCTGCCCCTCCTTTCCCGTGTGCTGTGTCGTGTTAGGGTCTCTTCTCTTTCCCCGGGGCAGATACCCTCAGCTGTTTGCTGCTGGCATGTTGTCGGGAGTGTTCACGACAGCGATCATGGCTCCAGGAGAGAGAATCAAGTGCCTCTTGCAGGTAAGGCATTGCACGGTGGTGGTGGGACTTTCACTTTAAGGGTTTTCTCTTTCCATACCAGGAACTTCTTTGGTTAGTGTATTTACTCTGTTCTGTTTTTTGACAGGACTGAGACAACTGTCCTTTAATGCAACTGTGTCACGAAGAAGCGTTACGCACACTCACCGTGACAGTATAAGTACACGCAGCGCTCGCTGCTCCGTTCCTTTACGGAGCACAAGCCTTATGCTATGTGGCGTTACAGGAGGCGTGGGTGGGTGCCTCAGCCCGCTCCCAGCTATGGAAAAGTCCAGTTTTCCAGAAGGAGACTCTAGAAAAAGAAATGCAAAACTACTAGAACAGCAGACTCCCTAGTGTGAACATGCTCTGTTCCTGTGGCAGGTTCCCAGTGCGTAACGAAGGAACGCATTCCCCAACACTGGTCTGGTTTTGGTGACGGTTGGCTCTACGCCTCCTCTGGGGGTTTGAAAGTAAAACGTAAACCTGAACAAACGAGGATGCTGTTTGTAGCAGCGATGGGGAGGTCTGCCGTCGTGGTTGAACCTCGGCTGGCAATAAAGCACCATGCAGCCCTCGCCCACCTCCCCCCTCCTCCAGTGGGGGAAAAGACAGGGAAGTTCCTGAAGTTGAGATAAGAACTATTTAATAATTGAATATAAATGAAAACTACAGTGGTACTACTAATGTTAACAAGGCTGCTGCTAATAAGCAATTAAATCAGTAGGAAATAAAGCGTGTGGTACAATGGCTGCCCGCGGATGGGTACACTGCCGGGTCCCGAGCGGCGAGGGTCCTGGCCAGCACATCTGCGTACGCCTGACGGTGCCCAGCACCGGTGGTCGCGTGTGAGTTCTGACAGGCGTGGGGTTGTCACGGAAGGTTTTACACACGCACAAACGCTTTGCCTTTCAACTGTTTGGAAGCGGCTTTTTGTCGGTGCCAGTGTAGAATCACCTCGGTCATCTCAGATGTGCACTGTGGGGAAACAGGGGAGAACCCAGGCACTGCAGGGGCAGCTTGGCCAGGAGAGAGAGCGCTGCTTGAGGAAATGACGCAGAGGTTTCACCTGCAGGAGTGCCTGTGGGCCGAGTACGCGCCGTTTCCTCCCTGGAAACGCGCGCGTGGCTTTCTAGCTCTTAGCTGAACGATTGTTCGCCGGCCAGAAAGCTTCACTCGTCAGAAACTCTCACTTTCATCCTCCAGATCCAGGCAGCTACAGGTGAAACTAAATACAGTGGCTCCTTGGACTGCGCCAAGCAGCTGTACCGCGAGGCTGGGATTCGTGGCGTGTACAAGGGGACGGTGCTCACCCTCATGCGAGGTACGGGGAGGTGTTCCGATGCCGCTCCGGCGTGCGCTGCTTTACGACACGAAGCCTGACCTGGTGTCCTAGATCTCCCTTTCACCAGTGGGAGATGCTGTGTCACCCGTTTGTCTTTTTTTGCAGCCTGCAGAGCTACTCCAGTGCCTGAATGGGACTGAGAAATAAACATAGGATTCTCAGGGAGGAGGAGATCAGATGACAGGGATCAGGGGATATAGGAAGGAATTAAGATCTGAGAAGCCAAGAGGAATGAGGGCTTCAGGAGAAGAACTATTTACAAAGAGAAAAATACAAAGTGGGCTTTTATTTTTCCTTTTATTTTCTTTGTTTTGCTGTTGCTCTTCCTTGGGAGAAGGGTTGTGACTGGCTGGTGCTGTGTAACGCTGACTGCCTTACCAACACGTGGTTGCGGCAGTTGCGCTTTCTGCCCGCCTGGGTGTGGGTTATTTTGCACTGGGATGTCGTGACCCCTCTCACAACAACAGCGTGATTGTGCCAGGCTCCGAAGCCTTTACGTGGCTTGGTGCTTTCTCCTTTGAGGGGTGTCAGAGCGCTCCCTGTACTAGCACGATCTTTTCCAAGGAGAAGCTGAAATTTCTGTGGTTGGAGATGTCGGTTTAGGGGTTTGCTCTGCCCTCTGCTTCTCACAGAAGTGTAGCAGCCAGCGATGTGACCCTGGCAGCATCCCCAGCCAGAGGCTGGTTCTCCAGTTCAGGCATCGGCTAAGAATGGGCTGTGGGAATACCTTAAAAAAACCCAAACCAAACCCATCGACTACAAAAAAACCCCAAAATAGAATCATTAGAACAACTAGTGTGCAAAACTCCAAGTTCCTGAGCGGCTGTGATCCGCTCTGCAGCAATTAAGAAAGCTCAGAGCGGTCTCATCGTCAGTGTAGTGGCCAGAAGGGTTTTTTACAGTCTGATGTGAAAGGCTGCTGACAGAAGCGCTTGCAAACAGGTTATTTTTCCCACTTCTTGCCTTTAGCACCTGCTCTCCCCGGGAAAGGTCAGGCTGCTCCGTCTGGAGCGACAGAAGATTTTATTTTGTTTGTAGAGGAGGTTCAGGAGAGGGATCTGGACGTCGCTGGCGGTGTTGCTGGGCTGGCGCGGGGCTGCTGTGCCTCTAGGCCTCCCTCTGCTTCCCACTGCTCACAGCCTTTGCTGTTTACCCACCAGACGTCCCAGCCAGCGGAATGTACTTCATGACGTACGAATGGCTGAAGAACATTCTGACCCCGGAGGGAAAGAGGTTAGTCAAAGCTCACAGTCGTCGTTTTCTGGACTCCCCAGCTACAAAGAGATGGAGACCAGGATCGTCAAAACAAGTTTAAAATAAATGAAGTTGCTCCTCTTGTGAGTTGAGCTGTTTTGGTCTGGGGTTAACTGATGGTTAAAATAGCATTCTGAGTTTCTCTCGGATCCTAGCCGTGGATCTTACTAGCCAAGTAAGGAATGCCTGAAGTGGGTCTCTCCACTTTCACCCCTGTGAGCACAAGGACCCCAGTGTGGGTGTGTGGGGGGTGTGTGTGTGTGGTTGTTGTTGAAAAGATGTGAACCTTTAGGTGGAGTTAGTCCCTCTTGCCCGGGGCTCTGACTGTTGGAACGCTGCCTGCAGCACTGGGCTGCCTTCTGGCTGTCAGCTGGGCTGCCTCTGGCTGGCACCTCAGTCACAACAGAGTTCTGACTTCCTTTTTCCTTTCCTTTTCCTTTGTCCTCCTGCCGCAGTGTGAGCGACCTCAGTGCGCCTAGGATCCTCTTTGCTGGGGGCCTGGCTGGGATCTTCAACTGGGCGGTTGCCATTCCACCAGACGTGCTGAAATCCCGTTTCCAGACCGGTGAGTTGCAGGCCGGCGTGTCGCGGCCGCTCGCGGTGCAGTGCTCCTGGGGGTGGGCTGGGCAGCGACGGAAGGTGCCGTCTGCGCGGGGCACCCCGGCGGCGGCACGTCCTGAGCGCTGCTTGAGACGAGTGCACGAACTGTCCAGGTGTCTTCGAGCTTTTTGGTTGGCTTCCTTGCAAGTTTTGGCAAATGAAGCTGCACTTCCCTGTCTCTCCCTCCCTGCTAATACAACGGTCTCGAGTGGAGTCCCTGTTTAGAAACCTGGGTGTAGAAGTCGCAATAACAGAACCACTTGTCGTTGCTTTTTTATTACAAATGTGGTTCTCTGAGAGGTTTTGTTATTTCATAGAGTCACAGACTGGTTTGGGTTGGAAGGGACCACCCCGTCCCACCC